TTGTGCCCTTCCACCATATGTTCTTGCCTTGAAGCCAGCCAGCTATGCATAGAAACTTCTGAAATCATGAGCCAAATTAAAACTCTCCTCTTTCAAGCTACAGGTGCCAGGTATTTTGTACCAGCAACAAGACAGACTAATACACAAAACTGGTACCAGAGAAGTAGGCTCTGTGACTACACTTGACCAGAAACCTTGATTCAAAAGCCTTTAGAACTGGTTCACAGGAGGAATTCGGAAAGGCTTGGAGATGGTGGCTAAAGAAGTCCTAGAATGCTGTAAGCTGAGCTTGAAGGGTGATTCTGGTAGGAATTCAGATTAGAATGCTGATAAGAATGTAGGCAGTAAGGCCAGGCTCAGGAGGTGTTAGTTTGGAACAGTTTAGACTTTATTGGAAATCAGAATACAGGCCATTCACTGCGCCTGCCTTACAAGCACAAGCTCCTGAGTTTGATCCCTGGTCCAAAAAAAAAAAAAAAAAAGCCTCTAGGGTCCCAGAATACAGGCCATATATATTATACTCCAGTAAAAAAAAATTGCCCCCATTTTGCCCATGTCCTGAGAGTCTGTGGAAGGCTGAATTTAAGGGGTATGGACTAAATGATCTGATAGAGGGAATTTCAAGGCAGCCCAATATTTAGGCAGTGGCATGGATATCACTAGCTGCTTTCATCCAGATTTATAGTAAGAACTGGGCTCAAAAACAGAGCAGAAGGGCTGGGGATTTAGCTCAGTGTTCCACTGCCTGCCTCCCAAGTGCAAGGTCCCAAGTTCAATCCCTGGTACCAGAAAAAAGAAAGAAAGAAAAACAGAAGAAATGCTTGAAAAACTTAAGTTTTGGCCCCAAAACAACCACCTGTAAAGTTGGGGCCAAAGGAGCTGTGGTTGCTGAAGAGATTAGTGTCATTTAAAAGACACCGCATACTTGAAACTGGAACAAGAAGAAAGATGCCCTGAGCATATCTCAAGAGTCAGCAAGACCCCACCTATCATATGTTCGAGGGTGCAGAAATGTAAACCTTTCATTTGAGAGAGAGCCCCTGAGCCCTTTACTTGAGAAGAGGTTCTGGAATTGGTTCCCCAGGTTTCATTTTACCCTGTTCAGCCATCCAGGCATGGTTCAAGGGGCATCATCCACATGATGCTGTTTCTTCAGGAATCCAAAATCCAAGAGTTGGGGGTCACAGGGGCTTCCATCCAGACTTCAAAGTAAGGCCTGGGAGCCCCGACCGTGTACTCAAGAGCTGGGTATGTGAAGCTGTGGGAATGAAACCAGAGGTACTGTAGAGATTCCAAGAATGCAGAGAGGGCAGGAGCGTGGAATGGCTGCAGGCTGGGAAAGGAGCCAGCCCAAGAGAGAGGCTATACAAGCTGCAACTGACAATTCCACAGAACCAGGGCCACCCAAGCCCTCCGGAACCCACAACTCACCCCCATGTGCCTGGATGCTGGGTATGGAGCCACAGTACTTAATGCCTGCCCCGCTGGGTTTCAGTCTTGCTTTGGTCCAATCCTTTTCTACCCTCCTAGTCCTCCCTTTTGGTAAGGAAATGTCTTCCCTGTGCATTGTACCTAGGGAGTATGGAATCTTTTTTGATTATTTTTTTATAGAGGTTCACAGCTAAGAGTCTGCCTTGAGTCTCAGAGGATGCTTTGACTTGGGCTTTTGAGCGACGTTGGAACAGTTGAGACTTTAGGGAAGGGATTACTGCATTTTCAGTTATCCTCAAGGTAGCTGTGTCACGTTAGGTAGAATTATGAACTTGTTTTCATTTGGAGATTAAGTACAGTCTCAGGAGATATGTTTGGGGGTCAAGTTGAACAAGGGCAGAATGTGACAGTTGAATTAAAAAGCTATTACAACCATTTTACTTGTATCTCCTCAGTTTCGATGTGCAATATCGTTATTTAGTTTCAAATAATTATTCATCCTTGATTTGTTCATTGATCCATCATTAGAAGTTTGATTTTGAGCCAGGGATTTAGCTCAGTGATTCTGGCTCCTGCCATGTAAGCGCAAGGTCCCGAGTTCAACCCCCAGTACCAAAAAAAGAATTTTAAAAAAAGAAGCTTGATGCTGTTTTGTAGTAGTGAGGACTGAACCCAGGTCCTTCACACTGAGCCAGATCTCCAGCTTTTTTTAGTTTTGAGACAGGGTCTCAATAAATTGCTAATTTGTCCAGGCTGAGCTCAAACTTGTGATCCTCCTACCTCAAGAGTGCCCAGATTACAGGCATGTGCCACTTTCCTTGGGATAGAAGTACATTTTAAATATAGAAGTGCATTTTAAATTAAAAGAAAAATAGCGGTTATACGCATTTGGGAGGGAGGGCGAGATTTCTGATGTTGGGGCATTATGGTCAGAGAATGCTATAAAATTAGATGAAGTTCTCTGATATCAGTTGTCTTGGGAGAGGGAGATACTTGATAGGTAGCTTGCCCAGTGGTGCTGCCGCCTGCCTCGCAAGTACAAAGTCCTGAATTCAACCCCGGTACCAAAATAAATAAATAAATAAACAAATAATCGATCAGTTTTTATAAGTTGCAAGAGACACTTGGAAATACTAGATATTCTTTAAATTGGATATACAAGTTCTCTTGTGTTTTATAACATCTTCATTAATTTTCTTAAATCTATTTTTACTGAGAAAAGCATGTCAAAATCACCCTGTGATTGCAGGTTTGTCAATTTCTACTTACAAGTCCATCCATTTTTCCTTTCTAACCTGAGGTCATGTTAGCTCTTGGACTCAGAATTAGGATCCCAGTGAGTTTTTCTCTCGGTTACTATTTATTCGCCTCCTTTATCTCCAGCACTGCATTTGCCTCTGTCTTTTTCCCCCTGGTCCCAGGGATTGAACTAGGGCTTTGCACAAGCCAGACAAACACTCTACAACTAAGCTATATCCTTGGCCCTTTTTTTTTCTTTTTTGGAATTTCAAGAAATTTTTCTTTGTATTGGTGCACATTTGCAGTATATAATGATTACATTCCTTGTGGGAAGTTGTTACACGTGCATAATGCATCTTAATCCCTTTTACATCCCATCCCTTCTCCCTCCTTCCCGCTCATCCTCCTCCCTCCATCTCATCCCATTTGCCAAAGTTCCATTTCCTTGTTTCTTTTTGTTTTGAGCCAGAATCTCACTACATTGCCCAGACTTCCCTCAAATTTGTGAGCTTTTTTTGTTTTGGTTTTTTTTTGGTACTGGGGATCAAACAAACTCAGGACCTTGCATTTGTGAGGCAGGCGGCAGTACCACCAAGCTAAATCCCCCACACCTTGTGACCTTACCTCAGCTTTCTGAGTAGCTACAACTACAGGGATCTGCCACTCTACCTGGTGCTTTTATCTGATGTTAATGTTGTCAAACTCCTTCCTTGGGGGTCAGTATCTGAACACAAACTTTTCTCACCTTTTACTGTCTACCTCAAGCAGCAGGCACAATTCAGATCCTAGCTGCAGCCCTGATAAGCCCTGTTACTGACCAAAAGACAGGAAAACTTTCAAAAAAAATAACTTCTCGGTAGGTTTTTATCTATTGTGATTTAAAATCCATTGGTTTAACATGAAGCCAGAAGGGGAAAAGGCCATTGGTCCCATTCTTGGGGGACACCAGGGAGCCAGGTCATAACGCTATCCTGACTTTCCTGTGCTCCTCAAGGTGGCCCAACAGCTGAGCAGGGGACGTGTCAGCTCTGGAAGCTTCCAGTTGCCACTTGGAGGTGTCCTAAGTAGGATGTCCCCTCTGCAACAGTGATCCCTATGCGAGATCTTGACGGGAACAGATGCAGCGCGGAGAGCAGCGAGCAGACGCCAAGGTGCTGCAGAGACAGTGTCCACGCCGCCAGCCACAAAGGACTCTTGCCAAAACCAAAAAGCACACATCTGATCACATACCCAGATCCTACTCGCAATTTACAGGAAAAGAGGTGACAGAGGGACACCCTTAGTGTCAGGATGCACAGATGGAATCAGATTGCGGGATGGATGCTCTACCAGATAACATGGCGTCTTAGTTAGTTTTCTCATTGCTGAGACAAAACACCTGACACCCAGAGTTAAAGGAGGAAAAGTTTATTTGGCTCACAGTTTCTTGAGGTTTTAGTCCACAGTTGGTTGGCTCCAAGGCAAAGGAGAAATAGTTCATGGCCCACACAAGGTAGCAAAAGCAACAAGGGACATTAACAGTGTCTTTCTGCCCCTCTATCTCATCCAGGCTCCTTAGGGCAGGGAGCACTCACACCCTTAATCCTAGCGCCCTTGGGCCTAGCATTGCACCATGAACCAACTCCAGCGTCACACTCTAGATGCAGCCACCTCCAAAGCCCACCTACGACCGCATGAGGCTTTGGGGTGACAGCTACAGACAGCCACAGTACCTGGCTTCTTCAACAAAGAAATCAAAGAGAAAACAGACTGGGGCTGGTGGCAGTCACCGCAGAAGCAAGGCACAGAGCCAGGTTAAGGTTCTGCCCCACTGCGAGCGACATGCACTGAACAAATCAATTTCAAAAGGTAGAAAGCTGGGGCTGGGGATGTAGCTCAGTGGCACAGTGTCCCCTGGCAAGTGCAAGGTCCTGGGTTTGATTCCCAGTACCGGAAAATAAATAAATAAAATTAAATTTTAGAAAAAGTTAGGAAGTTACTGGGGAAATGTTACCACTGGCTACGTACACACTTGATGGTATTAGGGAATTATCTTCTATTTCTGTATGGGCTAATACTGAGGTCACGTTTTTCAAAAAGACTCTGTTTTTTAGAGGCTCAGAAGGAAATATTTATAAACAAAATGACAAAGTCTGGGATCTGCTTCAAAACTAAGCCCAGCTGGGGGGCGGCTCTGGGTGGGCACGGCTGGGTGGTGGACAGCGCGCCTGGCACACTGGCTGGCAGGCACCCCATTCACTCGCACCCTGTACCTGCGGCCAACTTTTGACAGCACCCTCCTCAGCAGCAACACGAAGCTTTCTCACACGCGCCCTTGCACAAGCACTTACCTGTGTCATAGGAGCCGTCTTTACTGATGGGAACGAGGAGGTGGGACAGGGAGGCGGAGCTGGGCCCCCCAGCCCTGTCCAGTGGGACCAGCTGCAGGCGCGGCGTGGTCACGGGTGGGAAGCGGTAGAACTGGAAGGTGAAATACACAGTCTTTGGCCACGGTGTTCCTTGGTAGTCCTGGGCCACTCTGAATTCAACAACAGCTTTGAATTAATCAAGCATCCACAGCAGGGCACCTAGGGAGTGACGTGCACCTGTGCAGGGAGACTGTCCAAGCTCGGTGGTCACTGGGGCCACAGGAAGGGGTTGCCTTGGTCCCCACCGGGAAGAGCTGCACTGTGCTCGAGGTGAGCCCTAACACCTGAGAGTCAGGGAAACGCTGTCCACATTTTAATCAAGGACAGAACGCAGAGCAAGGCAGGCTTCTTGGTATTCAGAATGCCGCTGAGTGGGTCCCCGCCAAAATGAAGTTAAGGCAGTTTCCAGGCTCCCCACACACAAAAGCAATAAAGGCTTAAGGAGAGGGAAATGATGATGACCAGTTTGAACATCACACACCGTACATGTGTGTCACATATCCACAGTGTACCCCATAAATACCTACAATTATGTGTTAATTATAGAAATTTAAAAGAACAACTACTTAACTAAGTTAAAAGCCAGCCGGCACTGCTTAATCCAGCAGCACCTGAACACAGCGCCCCCAGGACAAACCCCCATCCGCGCTCCTCAGCGCTGCTCCCTGGCAGGGCACAGACTGGCAACTCAGGCTCTACCTGCTGAAGGCCAAGAAGTGCAGCACCATCTCGTTGCTCTGCAGACGATCTGCCTCTTCCTTCTGCGGGTTGAACTCCACGGGCTCTGTGGGGCTGACGGCTTCTGCGGGCTGCTTGTTGGTGTCCAGAATCTCCGGGAAGCCGGAGGACTGCAGGACAGCCATGGTGGCCCTCGAGAGCTGGCCTCCAGAGCTGAAACAGGAAGACTCCTCAGCCAGCCTCCCAGGAGATGGCAACAGAGACACGGGGCCCCCAGGCCCCCTCCGCAGACAGCCCAAGGGCCAGAGTCAGTGAGAGGCCAGGCATGCTCTTGGGCCCACCCCTCACCTCCTGGTCTGGGCTCCCACCACAATGGGGGCGTGCAGCGGGGTGAACGGCAGCTCCTGTAAGTGTTCGGTGACAGAGGTTTCCAGGGAGGCAGGAGTCCGGCTCAGGTCAGCTTCCAGGTGCGAGATCCTGCCCTCCAGCGGGAAGTCCTCCTGAACAAAACCAGGGCCTCGGGATGAGGCCACCGAGGACCCCAGCTGTGACCCCCCAAGGATGCTCTGATCTGAGGGGAGTGGCTTCGAGTTGCAGGGTCGTCAGCCTCAGCCACCGGAAGTACAGGAGGCTCAGTTACAGTGCAACTTTACGTGAACAGCGAATGATTTCAGTACAAGAGTGTCCCATGCTGTGCTTGGGGCATACTTATGCTAAACAGTTATTTGTTTTTATCTGAAATTCAACGTTAAGGGGGCATCCTTTATTTCACCTGGTGACCCGATTTGTGAGTCAAAAAAAAAAAAGAACGAGGAAAATAACCATCGATCTGATGTGTTGGTCAGCACCATGCGAAACATCTGACACCTGAGGTAGTAAATTAACACCAAGAGATGTGGATGGAACAGAAAGGGCATGAGTCCTTCTAAACACAATTAAACTGTAGATAGGGCCGCAGCTCTAGTCCTCAAATGCCCTGAGGCAAAGGCAGGTATCAGGGGCCCAGAGCACTGGGCTGGACTGTGAGGGTCACTACAGGCAAGGCGACCCCAGGCAGTGCCCCGGGGCAACAATCCAGCCAGAAGGCCCTTCATCAACAGGTGAATAGGGCAGCAGATCCACAGCACAGCGCATGTTCTCAAGTGAGCAATTAAAGGAACCGTGTGTCCTCAGCCCCTCACAGGGTGAGACCTGAGGTGCTATAGGGGGCGGCCTTCCAGCCTAAGCTGTCCGTGAATCCCAGGGCAGGGAGGATGCGGGCTACAGCTGAAGCCCAAGGAGCCCCCGCCCCTCCCCTTGCTGGCAGAGGTCAGGGTGCCGTGGGCTGGGCTCAGCCCCTCATAGCCCCAGCAACGCCTTCCCTCCTTCAGTGCAGACACCCAGGGCTCTAACTTTGCTATCTCAATCAGATGGAGCCTTGTGGCAAGAGTGCAAATGCCACTGAGAAAGAACAGTGGCAAATGTCTGCAGCATGAGGGTGCGCAGCGTGCCACCCCACCCCAAGGCCCACGGACAGAGGGCCCCGCAGTCCCTGTCACCTAACCGAGGACCAGCACGGCTGGCAGACCCCAGGCTCCCCACAGCAGTCGGGGTGCAGCCACCATGCGGCGGGGTGGGGGCACAGGGACACTTACTGTCTGGGGCTGGGAACCGTCCAGTGGCTGTGGACTCACTCTGGCTGAATGACGCTGAGCTGGGGACAGTGGGGAGGCCGCCAGCTGGGACAGTGACAACTGGAAGGCAGAGAGCTTGGGTGAGGCGTTCCAGCGCTCTTCAGTCAGCTCACACTGACTCACACAGGGTGTGGGGACAACTCGGGACCCAGCCACACAGGGCAGGGACGCCTGCGGACTCCTGGATCCCAGAACCGCTCCTGACCAACTCGGTCCTGGTTATAGACAGCTGTGGTTCTGTGATCGCTCCTGGACTAAACCTGGACAGAAATACAGTTAGCACAGAAGAGCAAGTGGAGAAGGGAATAGTCTCAATGGCAGGGCTGGGCGGTCCCGGGGCCTCTGAGCTTCACTTCCCTCATGGCGGACTCCAGCCCCCTATGTCCCCCAGGCCCAGGGAGCCTCTACCAGGGCACTGACCACTGTGGTGTCCAGCTGGCGCTGGAGACAGAAAGCCAGGGAGGAGGCCCCAGCCCACCCCTCACCACCCACAGCCTTGGATCATGGCTCCTGGCCTTTGTCCCCCACCTTGAAGGCTCACAGGAATACTGTGAGAGGAAGCAGGAATTCGGGGACAAGGCTGGCCCAGCACCTGGCTCAAGGCAAACTTTCTATCAGGGCTCAGGCTTAGATTGGGAAGTGAATGCCACTATAGAAAGGCTGGCATGGCGGGGTGGGACTGCCCTCCGCTGGAGACATGGGTCTATTTTCAGGCCACACTGCCCCTGGGATGCTCCCTGTCAGGAGGCACGGCTCTCCCGAGGAAGACTGAGCGGGCAGAGGGAGCAGAAGGCAAGGGCAGAGGTGCAGGGGACAGAGAGGCACCCTGCGGCACCCACAGGGAGTGGGAAAGATCACAAGGGAGGGTCTCTTCAGCTTCCTCTGATCACCTCACGAAGCCTCGCGTGGTAGTGGACACCTGTAATCCCCGCACTCTAGGCGGCTGGGGTGGGAGGATCACAGTTAGAGCCCAGTCTGGACAACTTAGGAGGACCGTGTCTGAAACTAAAAAATAAAAAAGGAGTGGGGGTGTAGCTCAGTGCAAAGGTCCTAAGTTCAATTCCCAGCACTTGGTGGGGGGAGAGAGAGAGAGAGAGAGAGAGACTGACTCTAAACCTCTTATGGCCATAAGAAGCAAAAAATGTTCAAGCAGGCATAGTAGTACATGCCTACAATCCCCGCACCGCAGGAGGCTGAAGCAGGAGAATCACAAATTCAAGCCCAGCTTGGGCAACTTAGCAACTGAGCACGACTGTGTCTCAAAAAGGGCTATGGATATAGTTTAGTGTGGAAGCCCTGGGTTCAATCCCCAGTGCTGAAAAAAAAAAATACTCCACAGAAACAAAAAGAGTACCCTACGAAATGTCATGCCCTTCGGGGGACATGGAAACCACGCAGGGAAGACACTGGGTTAGGCCAACGGGGAGCCCCAGAGCGGTCCAAAGGAAAGCCAAGACTAATGAACTGTTTGACTTCCCAAAGTCACCAGGAGGAACAGGTCAGCTCTGACCTCTCTCAAAACCAGGAAGCAGCAGCCAGCAGGCCACAGGCAGTCCCCGTGGGCAGCTCAGCACTCACTGCCTGAGCTTGGCCGAGCCAGGAAGAGCCCTAGCCCCACCGGAAATTCCAGCTCAGTGGGGCGCCCTTCGTGACAGCCACCGTCAGCTGTGGCCCTGGGTCCGGCAGCACGAGCTACTGCCTGTCCCTCACTCACTGTGGTCCCGACAGAGTGGGTGGGGAGAGGAAGGGAACCACACCTGGTGTCCTCTCGGGAGAACGACCAAGGCTGCTGGTCCTGAGGGCCTCAGCCACCAGGACCTCCAGGAGCAGTGGCATTTCCCGCCAGGGCTGGCACAGGCCAGGTGGCAAAGTGGGCATCGGCAGGCGTCAGTGGGAGGCCTGGCAGCGGTGAGGCAGCGTGTCCCGAGGCGGGGACCCGGCAGTCTGTTGCACTTCCTCCCTCCCCAGCCCCAGCCCCAAGCTGCAGAGACCCCTCGGGGACAACCGCTCTGCAGAGGCGGAGTCCTCAAACCCAGGGCTCCTGGGTGCTGCTGCTGGAATTGAGAAGTGGGCCCCACGGAGCCCGGACTTACCCCTGGTCCCACGGGAGAGTTCTGGGTGGCAGCAAGACCCTGGGGCGTCGGTGCTGGTGGGCCTGGGAGGAAGCACAAGGTGCCATCAGCCTCTAGGGAGTCCAGGGAGCCTGAGCGCCGGACAGCTGGGCCTCAACGCCCTTCTCCACCCAGCCTGCAGCTCAGCACCAGCACAGGCACCGTCCAGCTCTGCACAAAACCCTCACTGGAGGCCGGAGGTGGGAGGGAGGCCCGCCCTTCGCTCCAGGCTCTGGTGCCCTGAGGAGGGCCGCCTGGTGTCTGTCCGTGCAGATCCATCCATCTGTGGTCACTGCATACCCACCATGGTCACCACTTCCTGTCCACAGTGGGGGCTGCCCAGCAGACAGGCCAGGTGTGGCCCACAGACGTGAACCCTGGGCACCTGCTGGAGGGGTGATCAGCCTGGCACCCTAGGGGCACAGCCTTGGTCCCCAGGCCTCCGGCCCCACCCCACCGGGTCTTCCCAGTCACCTGGACCACTCAGGAGAGGGACCCTCTGCTCAGGCTTGCCGCCCGTCAGCCTCATGTGGCCGTCACTGTCACTCCGTGGCGCTGCTGCCCTCCCCATGGCTTCTGCTGCCATCAGCATCAGGCAAATGGGTCTCTCACCACCCCTGGAATCCCCAACGGCCCGTGGCCTAGGCGGGGCCACCTCTGCCCTCGAATCTACAACTCTCAGTACAGTGCACCTATCCCCAGCGCCCCACTCTGGACCACAGCAGGACAAAAATAACCACAACAAAGGCTGCTTACAGAGAAGCCGCCCACGCAGCTCCTGCCCATCAGCAGACAAAGGCCCAGACCCCTCCAGCAGCTTCCAGAATCTGCCCAGGCACTTTGAGCCACCCTAGGCAGGGCTCCCCCACCTCGGGTGACCCAACCACTCTGGCCTGCAGCTCATGGTCCAGTGCCTCCCAGGCAGGGCACATTCGCCAGCCTCAAGGCATCTGACAAGCCCAGCCACAGTGCTTCGGGAACTCTGAACACCCCAGGGAGGAGCTGGCTTCGGGACATGAGCTGCCCTCCTGGAGGCCTAGCAGACCCTCCCAGGAGCAACACTACCCGGGACAGGGTCACTTTTGAGCAAATGCCTCTCCCGGCTCCTAGGCACCTTCCGCAGACATCAGGGCCCGGCGCAGCAGCCCTGCCCACCCTCCTGAACAGCAGAGGACGGAGCACAAAAGCCACTAGTGGAGTCCAGCTTTGTTCCACCCTAAACGAGGACTCGGAGAGCTCCGCAGGCTGATTCTGGCAAGGAGGAAAATTGGAGGAAATGGCTCCATTATCCTCCGCTAGGAGAAAGCTGCACTTAGGAGCCAGGCCTGCTGCATCTTCCTGGCCAGGAGGGCTCGGTGCTGGGCACGCTGCAGCAGCGAGGCACATGAGAAGGTTCTCGCAGCCCCCACAGTCAAAGCTGGGGACTCCAGGGAGCTGGGGCACATCACAGGGGTCTGCGCATGCTCTCCCGGTTCTCATAGTGGGTACTTGTGCTGTGCTTCTCCATGTCCTTCCTTATGTGGAGGCTTGCTATGCACTCTTACTTTCTGAGAGAGTGAAACAGCCTAAAAGAGGCCCTGGCAGATGGCTTACGACACCTGCTGTGAGCCGGGGCCAGCGGACCCACAGCCACATCCCAGGGAAGCTCGGTCCAAGGAAATCTATCAAGACCACACCATCACCACGCTCCACATCTTTCTGTCTTAACGCGGATGCGGTGGCTTGTGGCGTTGCCCAGGGGCACCCACTGCACTTCCGGTGCAACAGATGTAGCTAGAAAGGAAGCCTGGTTTCTGCCTGGCTGAGGGCCACTGGCAGCAAGCACGTGTGTACAGGACGCGCACGATGCCCGGGGAGCCCCACCAGGAGACTGGGCTGAGGAGACCGAGGAGCCTGCGTGTGAGCTGGCACACGCCCTGTGCAGCCAGAGCCGCGGGAAGGCTGGTGTGGGGCAGCCCAGGGTCTCCAGGCAAAGGGCAAGTTACCAGGCACTGCGCGTCCTGTGACTCCACGGCCACCACGGGGAGAAAGGGAGCAGCCACGCGTGCAGCAGGCCTGCTGCACACTCACGGCCCAGCGCATCCTCGGCCTCAACCGTGGGCTACAAAGCGCACTCGCTTTCAGGGCTGCGGTCACCATCACGTTGCCATGATGTCCCTCAGGACCAGCTGCACTGCCACACCACCCAGCGAGGCTCGCAGTGAGGCTCCAGAGCCGGGCCCTGTCCCCACAACCCCTCCCCCTGGGTTTGCACCAAACATGGGCTCCTCCCTGGGCGCCTGCCGAGCACAGGCTCTGGGTTCAGATGTGCATCTTGGAATTTGAGCATGGAGACCCCAAGAGGCGCTTTCCACAGCTGTGCCAGGTGGCTCGGGGCCATGGGAAGGGACCCAGGCAGCAGTTCCCGAGACCCCAGGGCTGACGGCCGGAGACAGGGATGCCTGGGCTTCCAGCTGCAGCGCGGTCTGCCTCCTGTCTGAACACTAATTTTCCCTGACACTCTATTACTCTCCAATCAGTCTCTGTGCACTGAAACCACTGTCAACAAAATCTCGAGAGTCCACTCCAGTTTTCTGTCAATTTAGCTTCAAGAAGTTCCTCGGCTCCATCCACACTTGACGAAGCCCAGGCCTCGGGAGGCCAGGCCAGGGCCTGCACTCTGACAGTACTGGGCTTCTGCTTCTCCTGCTGGATCACACGGGGACCCCAGGACCCGAGGCTGCCTCCAGGGAGCAGGAATGCGCCTCGCTGCTCGGCGCTTCTCAGACAGCGCTTCTGGTCCCGGGGCAAGGGTTCCGTAGAAGGCACCTGAGCCAGGTGAGACGAACTACTCGAGGCCTGCTCTGCACACCAGACTGAACAGAGCAGAACACACCGCCCTGGTAGCAGCACTGGGAGTGCAAACAGACACACAGGGAGCTCTGGTCACTCCAGCACCCCGCCTCAGGGCTGTCCCCAAAATGGAGTGTGCGCTTGGCTTTGCTTCTCAGTCAGTCACCCCACCTGGTGGCAGACAGGGATGGGGACCAGGGCATTGAGGCCTCTCACCTCCAGTATCACCTCCCCGTTCTGCTTAGCAACTCCAAGGGGGCCTGGGGAGCGGGGCTCAGTGTCTGTCACCTGCACCACATGTCACTGAGCAGCCACTTGTCCCCTCGAGCAGTGCACTTCTCAGTATGCAAGTTACGCTGCCGTTTAAAAGGAAAACCAGAAAGAAGGGGAAAGAAGGACAGCATTTTTACCACCTTTGCTTTTCTGTGTCACTGATCCATTTGTCTGAAAAACATCTCATCGCCTGCCTGTATTCAGACATGCCGTGAAGACTCGTGAATGGCTAACACAGGACTGGGTGGTGATCTCCGCCCCGCGCACACTGGGATCAGGGATCAGGGGCAGGGTGGAGCCATGGACAGGGTCCCCAGCATCCTCCCACTGATGGCCCACCAAGGATGCAGCAGGATGAGGGCACGTTCCCGGGGGACAGCGCCCTGCCTGTGCTTGGCTGAAGGGCCAGTTACCAGAGGGGAGGACCACAGTCCCGAGCAGGGGCGGCAGGAGGAGGCCATTGCCTAGCAACCTGCAGCAGCTCGGCAGAGGCAGGGAAAGGGCCGGCCGGGCAGGGCAGGGGGGGGGAGGGAGGTGAGGAGGGGCCGCTGCCAGGAAAGACGGTGGCCAAAGACAGTTTCCTGTCTGCAGACCGTGAAAGGATGAATCAGTGGCTAATGGCACTCCAGACACTAACCATTCACAAGGCAAACCCATTTGAAAGGCCTTTATTCCTATTTGTGGGTAAAAATTCATTCTTCCTAAGACTTTGATCACAGGAATGGGGAAATGGGCAAAATCTAAGAAATAAAAGGAGATCACATAATGGAGTGGGCATGGTCTCCAAGCGGAATCCATTTACCCAGGGCAGCCAAGAACAGTAGGGCCTACGGTGGCTGATCACGCCCAGTGTGGTGGGGGTCCTGTGAGCTGCCCAGAGCCCCCCGGGTCACTGCAGGGTCACCGCAGGCCAGGCTTGGAAGCTCCCGACCCACATCGAAGCTGTGCCCCGAACCACGCTCACCAGCCTTCTCCAGCAAAATGCTCCTTATCATCGGCACGCTCACTTGCACTCCTTTGTGAAAGGCTGAGCAGAGAGCAACTCCAGCTATAACTCTCCCTTGCTGCTGCATAACTGACAGCTCCCGAATGCAGCCAGGGGGCGGCCTGCGGAGAACATGCTCCAAAGAATCAACGACAGCATCGCGGCACGAACGCAACTCCACCTATCCCGGCAAACAGCAAGGTCGGGTGTTTGCAATGACCCCTGCTGCAGGGATGTTTTCAAGTCTAGTAAGCAAACAATCCCAGATTCGGGCCCCGCAGAATGTTCAAAAAGCAAAATATGGGTCAAGGAAATTCTGAGTCACAAAAAATGAAGACAGAGTGCCCTCTAGTGGCTCTGTGATGCTCTTTAGCATGGCTGATGAATAAACCCCTGGCAGTTTCATAGGGAAAATAAAAGGATTATTCATAACAGAAAGCCAAAGTACCTCACCTAAAGTGACAGCCACATATCATTAAGATTTCCACGGGAGCCGTATAAGTCGTTAAAATATTGAAGTATGAAAAGTTTCCATCATAAGTTAAACACTAGTGGGTATTTAAAAGTCTCTTACCCTGGGTCTTGAGAGGCAATGTCTTCAAACGCCTGGAGCCCGGGCCAGAGGCAGTCATATTAGCATGGCATGAAGGCGGCCATAAATCCAATTAAATAACCCAAATGGAAGCAGGTCGCACGGCAGTGCTTTGCTGTGGTGCCTTCGCTCAACAGCTCAATTCCTGGCCCTTCCATTAAACAAGGTAGGCTCCTCCCTGACAGGGAGATGACAAGAGGAGGCCCGAAGCTCTGCATCTCAAGCCAAACTGCTGCTGGATGCGGCCCGTGGGCAGTGACACCCTTGGGCAGCAATGAGACCCAGCCTCTCCACTGCCAGCCCCGCACAGCCGGCTGTGGTCACTCTTCCCCGAGCTGGGCCCAGACAGCAGCTGCCAGAGCACAGACCACTGAGCGAAGGTCTCTGTCCTCGCACCGTGGGAAGGATGCAGCAAGGCGAGTGCCTGCTCGCTGGAAAGGGCAGGGTGCGGAGCGGCGGAATGCAGCATCCCGGGAGGCCTGGACTCCAGCTCAGTCTCTGCGTCCACGCAGTCACTACCCTGCCAGCGTGGCTCACCCTGAATCTGCACTCCTGCCGCGTCCCTCTGCAGAATCACCCTCCCTCACCTGCCCAAGAGGTGTGCGCCAGGACCCACTCCCCACACTCAGCGCCCCCGGCTGTCCCGGGAAAGGCGGGGACACAGCAGAACAAGGGGGTCCGTACTCGGGACTCTGCTGAGCCAAACCAGCCATGGGGATTCCGGAGCCCTGGGGTCACCGGGAGCCCTGGGGTCGGCACAGGGGAAAACTGTTAAGTTTCTGGCCTTTTCTTATGGATGCATCTACTGAGCTTTAAAGCCCAGCCCAGCCTCACACATGGAAGAGCTTTCCTTTAGCTTCCCACAGCCCTCTGCTATTTATTGTATATAATAGTGTGTTGTCTGGGTTGTCTACAGTTCTTCTTTCCCTCCTCTTCCTGGTCTTTCTGCTGGTCACAGAAGGAGTGGGAGGCTCAGGAGCTCCTTGTCCCACCAGTGAAGGTCTGGCCTGGGAGTGACATGCTGCTTCTCTTCTGTGCCGACTGCATGTAGCCCCGTGGCCCTCAGGCACAGAGGACTGGGAGATGTCCTTCCTCAGGCTGAGAAGGGGGAGAGGCAGGCATTGGTTCAGCCCTAAAGACTCCTGTAGGAGCTTCCAGAAGCACTCAAAGGGGCACTCCCCTGTGTGTCCAGGATTAGCGGGCTCACTTTCAACCGCAGCTGATGTGTAGCCAGAGTATGCAGTAAACTGTTCTGCTTTAAACCATTGAGATTTGGGGATTACTTGTTACTTAGCAAAGCTGACCAATAGACTCCAGGAAAAGGGAGGGAAAGAAGAAATGTAGACAACACAGACAACACACTATTATATAAAATAAATAGCAAAGGGCTGTGGGAAGCTAAAGAGAAAGTTCTTCCATGTATAAAACCTATTGTTTTAATGTGGGACTATTTTAAAACACTACTTCAAATTCTAGGTAAAAAGGAAACACAGAGCTGAGGATGTATTTCACAGTACACAGCATGCTGAGTGCGATTCCCAGTACCACAATAAAAAGGAAACACAAATTGGAATCAATAGTTTAGGAAATAACAACACTATAAATCAAAACCTATGAAACAGGGTTGAAGCTATACTTAGAGAAGAACTGCAAAACCTTAAATGTTTTATTGTTGAGTAAAAACAAGATAAATTAAACATTCAACTTTTTTTAAATCTGAAGAAATTAAGAGGATGAAATTAAAAACAGACGCACAGAAAGTCAAAATCAATTAGAAATAAAGATAAGATTTGAGATTGAAAGAACAACAGAATGAAATAAATCTGAGCTGGTTCTCCAAGGTTAGACCGGTGACACTGTCACCCTGGGTCAGCTGCCCAGAAAGGCAGCGGCTCGGCTCTCAGGAAGACACCAGAAAGGAAGCAAATCACAGGCATGGGTCAGAAGTTTAGAACTGGATGCGACTTCCTCACGGCATCTCTGGAAACGAGATGAAGCTGGCCATTTTCTCTACAGGATAATTATTCCAGAAGGAACATGAGATGAGGTAAAAATGTCCCCATGCAGAGATGAAGCAGTTATTCGGGCAGTGGACAGACGTGCACTCCAGGCTGCAGTGTGAGCTGCATATCACACACACACACACACACACACACACACACACACCTCCACCCGCATCTGCACACTCCCGTACAGCTGGGCTTGGGGGGCTTGACATGATTTCTCGCTTTATTTTACATTTCCTGATCGCTACTGACACCGAGCAATTTTCATACATTAGCTACCTATTCTGGTTTCTTCTCTGCCAATTCTCTCTTCCTATCCTACGTTCATTTTTCTTCCTTCCTCATCTACCTCCTATTGATTTGGAGGAACTTTTCTATAATCCTTCTTTCTAATCTAATTCTAAATTTAAAATTTCTAAAGTTTTGATTTTTTAATGCATCTGGAATTTATTTTGTGCATGATATGAAATTACAACTGACTTTCCTATCTTCTACATGGACAAGCACTCATGCCTGCATTAGCAGAGCAAATGCTCCCACCCCAAAGACGCCTGCACCCTGATCCTCAGAACCTCCTGGTGAGCACTGGCTGCCTGCACTGCCAAGGGACACAGGCTCCCACCTGCTAACCTCAGTGGGGACATCGCACCGGTCTGGGTGGGGGTCCCCCCACACCACAGTCCCAGTGGGTAAAAGCGGGACAGGAGGCTGTCAGAAAGGGGTCTGCAGAGGCCACTGGGCTCCTCCACAGGCAGAGGTGGGTGAGGGGAGGCAGCGACCTTGGGAAACGGGAGAAGACCAGGAATGCAGCCCTGTGGAGACCTGGACTCCAGCCTCTGAGACCCCATGCTGGGCTTCCGACTTCCAGAACAGTAAGAAAATATGGTCGCACTGTTTGAAGTCACTGAGATCGAGGTGCTGTGTTACAGCGGCAATGGGAGCTCACACACACCTTCCCTGCAGTGTCTCCCGTACCCCACTTTGTCCCCCTCACTAAGTATCGATTTCTGCATTGATTCCATGATGTCCCTGTTCCTGCGACTTCATGGCGAAGTCTGCAAATCAACAAAGATGAAAGCTCCCTACTTCAAAAGTGCCTTGGCAATCTTTGACTGTGAATTGTTTTTAATTTTTTTTTTTTTGGTACTGAGGATTGAACTCAGGTCCTTGCACTTGCGAGGGAGGCAGCGGAACCACTGAGCTAAATCCCCAGCCCAATTGTTTTTAATTTTTAAAAATAAATCTCAAAAGGACCATGGATGTAGCTCAGCAGCACCATGCCCACCTGGCAAGTGCAAGGTCCTGAGTTCGATCCCCGGTACCAAAAAAAGAAAAAGAAAGAAAGAAGGAAGAAAG